CAGTTGCCCACAAGCTTTTCTTTTTGTCATCCACGTTTGAAGACAATCACAATCGCTGTGCAATTGTCCTTGCAACGACGTTCTTTCACAGCTTCCTTTACAAGACGACGACTTATTGTGCTTACAGGCAAGCCCTCCTGCAAAATCGCAGCACTTAGTATTCTCTCATTCAATTGCCCCCTAAACCTCTTTACTAGAGTGCACAACAAAATCAATTTGCTCACATGGTTACCGAAAGAAAAATCTATTTTTTGGCTTCTTTTGATGTAGTTAAAAGGGTTAAATGGAGGAAAAAGCAATTTGACAAGTGAGATTTGTACCTTCAAGAGTTTCTGAACAAACCCAACTGCATCACTTGGCCCAAACACCTGAAAACGGATGCAATGTGTAGATAATATGAGCAAACTTCGAAGAAAAAGTCGAATGGGATGTTCCTATATAGAACTGCACAACCAGAAATGAAGAGCTTACTTACTTCCCACAATCCATCACAACCAAGAATAATGAAGTTTTCTCTCTCGGTTAATTCAAATGCATGAATGTCCGGAGTTGCAGTGACACCAAACTGGATTCAATAACTTTGAGTTAGATGTGTATAACCCACAAGATTTCAGAATGATTAACATATTCAAGACAGCAATGCCTGGAGTTGCAATGATATGAAGCTTGGTTCAATAACATGTCAAGAGGATTTTGCAATGCGAGAGCTAAAATGTCACAAGGGTTATGGGCTCAAGATAAAGTGGGAAGCCAAAAAATCATTACCTTCTTGAATTGACGATCACCAAAAGCCCTAGAAACCTCAAGACGCCCTTGTAACCGTCCATTTGAGCTTACAACCCCACCTGACTGTGAAAATCATATCAAGTTATTAACAGAGCCAAGGTGAACTCAAATCTACTGGGAAATAAATATCAGGCTGATTATATAGACTAACCTTTTGAATGCGAGTACGCTCCTGTGGGTATATAGCTTTGTGTTCCCTTGTCAAAAGAATTGCTTTGAGTGGATTGCATGCTTCTGTATGACTCCCCAATTCATTGGCAGTAGAGGATCGTCCCAAAACAGCCTTAGTATCACCAATATTGGCAACAAAAACCTAAAATACATGAGAGTTTACGGGTGTGAATAGTTGGAGAAAAGGTTGACTAATTTTGTGAACTCCATGTCGAAAAAGTGTCATGTCAATTGCAAACGACGAAGTACCACACCACTTGTCATCCACACAGTCATACCTTTTGATCAACTATCCAGACACACACTGCTGTGGCGCCATCTTGCCATCCTCCTGCAGAAGAGAAAGGTCAGGGAGAATAAGAAATTGAATAAACTCAGAGCTTCAATGGAGAAGATATTAGCAAAACAAGTAATAGGTAAGAAAAAAAGCGCAGACATTCGCCGCATATATGCATGATACGGCTGAGAGAAAAGTGTCACATGAAAACACAAATCTACCTGAAACACTTTCTTGCAGGAGCAACTCATCTGTTTTCCGGAAACCTGATAGTGAAGTTTGTGTTAACAATCCAGAATCTGTGGATCTCAATAGCGATAAATCTGCTGATTATAAAGCTGAAAAGGCGTAGGACTTATTACACCTTCAAGTATGGCCTTTTTCGCAACTTTGATGTCCAGCTGAGGTAGCAATCGAACAGTTGGACCAAGAAAAGGACAAGAAAGAAGGTGAAGTGAGAATGACTGAATGACACCACAACAATCTTGCTCTGTGATAAAAGACATTATATAAAATCTGAACCGAGTAAAACAGACCAACTCACGTGGTAAGCCAGCTGAAAGAACGTTAAGGTGAAGATGCTTCTTAGCAAATTCTGCAGCTAAACGACCTCCATGCCCATCATAAATGGCAAAATGAGCACACCTACATAAGAATAAACTCAATACAGAAGAAAAAGCTAGTAAGGTTACATAAGAAGAGAGAAAAATATCATCTTTCCAAATCAAGACTCCAACTTTGCAGCACAATCAAGACCAGGATCTTCCTACTTCTCAGTCCCACAACTTAAAATTCTCTGACAAGAAGTAGCTTGATATCTCCCAATTGTCAAACTAGATCGATTCAAACTTTGTATCTTACCTTAGTTTCCCTGGAAAATCCAAAGAAGCGTCAGGCAAAACCACCCAAACATCTTCCATTGTTTGTCTACCTCCTTTGTCTTCAGCAACATCAGCTTCAACGAGAAATCCCTTCTTCTCTTCACTTAAACAGCTACGAGTATCTTCTTCCACCGCTCTATTAGCAACAGCAGCTATAGCTTCTTCTCCGCCGGAAACCTTCTGTTCTTTAGTATCACATCCGGTCTCCTCTGACTTCTTGGCCTTCTTCGCCGGCGAGATCAAATCCTCGCCGGAAATCGGGTCAGCCTCGTGTTTGTTATTGGGTTTCTCCATTGTAGTCAAATCAGCTTCCTTCTTTGAGATTCCTCTGGTTTAACTTCGCCGTTTGTTTTCCCGACAATAATCTTGTCGAAATCGCCGTCGCGCCAAGGTCCGTTAGCACAAATATTAACCTCAAAAGGCTTTAAAGAATTTATAGTTTAGCCCCAATAGTATCTTTATATTTCATTTTAACCCACACAGATTTTAATCGTACCCATCAATGATTTGGGTTTCTTCTTTGACTTGTAAAAATTCGATGTTTCTGGCTATTTTGACTCTTCTATAGCTTATTCTGCGTAAAAGACATTATGATCTTTCTTCCATTTTCAGTCACTTTGATTTTAGTGTTGCTTATTAACTTTTGTTAAAGCATTTTTCCATTGGAATACTAAATATTTCCATCTTTTGACTCATTAAACTTGTTGTAAGTAGGTGAGGTGTTAGTTGTATGAATTAAAAGAGTGATGTTCTAAAATCTCCAACTGTTTTACAGGCCTAGGATGTCTTATCTCAAAAGAAAGCGACTTTATTACCTAAAAATATCAGAGAACTAATAAACAAACCCCTTAAGCAACTGCGTCGCTGGTCTCGGTCTCGAGGAACGGGTAGTCTGTGTAGCCCACGACAGGATCAGAAATGTAGAACGTTGATCTGTAGTACGTATTTGTTCAACTGTGCATTGAGTTCAAATCTCCGAGGCAGATCCGGATTCGCAATGAACTTCCGTCCATAAGCCACAAGATCCGTTCTCCCCTCTGCTACCGCCATATTCCCTTCTTCTCTAGAATATATAACCTCCAGCTACTATAAACGTTCCTTTGAAGGCATTTCTCATCGGTGTAAGCGATTCCGTGCACTCGAACATTTCTTCAAGGGTTTTCATTCTAGGTTCAACCATGTGACAGTAAAGGATTCCATGGGTGTTCATAGCTTGCACTAGGTCGAGTCCTAATGCTTCTGGAATGGCGAGAATCTGATACCGACACCGATCTCGGTCACCACTGCTTCGACTACGTCCAGAGCGAATCTACATGGTTCTCTAGTCACCCACCATATTCATCGCTTCTGTCATTCACTTTGTCTTTCAGAAACTGATCAATCAGGTAACCATGTGCGCCGTGAATCTCGACTCCATCAAAGCCTATACTTATATCTTGATCAGCTTCCATTTCATTACATTACATCTAACATCGAAAAGGGAAAAGACTTTGCTTAATTACCAGCTTCAATTGCATTTCTTGCAGCAACGCTAAAGTCGTTGACAATGGCGGGGATCTCATCGGTCCTTAACCGCCTTGGAGGTGTAAACTGACCTGACCTCCATAGATGTTCTTGCACATCAATGGCTTGTCTGTATAGGAAACAGGAACTTCCCCATTTGGCTGGTCTAAAGAATGGAAGAAAATAATATAGTACGAGGCAAGAACCGTAATCATCAATGCTTTTTCATATTTTAGTATACAGCAACGAGAAAACCGATTTTGTGGAATACCTTGATTATAAAATCTGGCAGAAGAAGATACCGCCTTTCGAATGAACCGCATCCACGATGGGCTTCCATGCCTCCACTTGCTCTCTGGTCCATATTCCAGGTATATCCGGAGAGCTGCACAATTCAGAACC